CCTTCCCAATTTAATGGGCAAAGATAAAGTGCAGGTTGATTTTTTTAACCTCCCTTGCCACTTCCAGACCCTTTGTATGATAATGTCATTATATTATCTTCTCCTTTTAGATTCACTCCCCCTACCTGCATTGTCCTACCTAGACAGTCACCTAACCTTGGTTATTAAGTCTTCTTTATCAAGGAGCTCAGCACCTGCTTCACTGCCTATTTCTTTACCTCAAGCCTTAGCCTCATAATTGTGTTCTTCTAGAGTAGGCCTTCCTTTACGTGTCTGAGGCCGGATTTGAACCCTTGTCCTCCTGAATCCAGGGCCGATGCTCTATCCACCGTGCCACCTAGCTGCCCCTTTTTTTCTTTTGTCTTTTTTTTTTTTTTAGTAACTAACTTTCTAAATTTCTCTCATGTATGGCTTCACTCCACATAAGCTTCACAGAGGAGTGGAGTATCAGGTTTGGAGTATATAGAGGGTTGTGACAGTCGACATGGCAATGTGCTTCATTATAGCAACATCAACTTTCTTAATGAAACAGCAGTTTCTATATAATGGATACACAATATGCACAGCTTCTAATAGTCTTCCTTTCTCCTTAAAAAAAGCCACTTATCACCAAGCTGATTATGACCATTAAGCCTGAAATGCCACCAGCCCTTGGTGTATCATTATTTATAAAACCCAAGCAGAGATGAGCTAGTGCTAGTTTTTTTTCTTTTTTTAACATCAGAGTTGATTTAATTTTAACATAAAAATATTTTATAATTTTTTTGACTTGCCATATATACATGATACTATTTCAATTTCATAAGTGTATGGTAGAAGGTACAAATTCAGAGATGTTAAACGACTTGCCCCAAATCATTGAGCTACTCAGGGTTATAATTAGAATCCAGATTTTTTTATTTACAAATCCAGAGCTCTTTCCATTCCACCCACACAGAGTTCCTTTGTTTCCCTCATTAGAGGCAGCGTCATTTGATTTCAAATCCCACCTCAGACATTTACAGTTAAGTTACATGACCAGGGGATTGGACCTACTTGTCCTTAACTTCTCTTCCAGCTCTTTATTCTTGATCCAATGAAGCTATGAGGAGATTGTAAATTTAACAAAAAATGAGGAGCTTTGGAAATATTTTGAATAATGGTAGCATTATTGGAATGTCTTCAAATTCTGTGGCATATCCTTTTGAATATGCTTAGAGGTGTCAAATTTTTATCTTTCTGAAAGGATTTTTTTTTAATAATAGCTATTTGATTTTTTAAAAAATCTCATTTCTAGAATGCACTCTTCCCTCACTGTCATCTTACAGTATCTCTCACTTCCTTCAAAATACAAAGCAGGTGCTTCCTCCATCATGAAGCCTTCCTGATTCCCAGAGTTAATTGTGCTGGTGCTAATTTCAAGCAGATGAGATGAGTTGATAGCATAATAATTACACCAAAGCTAAATTGCTTCTAGGTTCCTGAATCTACATTGAATTCACACCTGAACAGTATGACCTACCACAAACAGTGATACTCTCAATTTCATTACCACTATTTATTATCCAAAACATTGATTTTTTTTTTAATTTAGCCAGGCAATGGGGTTAAGTGACTTGCCCAGAGTCACGCAGCTAGTAAGTGTTATGTGTCTGAGATCAAATTTGAACTCAGGTCATCCTGACTCCAGGGCCAATCCTCTATCCACTGCACCACCTAGCTACCCTGATACATCTTTCTTCTTTCAGAGTCTCCTATACTTCTTCCTCTCTCTCCTACACTATTCTGATTTTTTTTCTCACAAATTTACCTAATCATTGTATACTCCTCTTTTCTCTCAGCTTATCACCCCTACCTAGGTTTCACTTTCTTCTCATTGCGATATTAATCTTGTAGTTAACATACTAAACACACACTATTCTCTGACATCTAGTCCCTTGATCCATTTTCCATTACCACTCAAGCCTGGACAAAAGCAAGACAGAATTTCCCATATTAAGGATGTTCTCCACCTCTGCTTGTGTATTGCTAAACACGACTATTCACAGTGACATGACCATGATGCCTGGGTCCACTGAAAATTTGCATTTACCTACTACAATCATGCAACCAATACTCTTTCTTGGTTGAGTCTCTAAAGAACTCTTAGTAGCTGCTTGTACAAAAACTTTCTCTAGCAAACTCCACAACAACTTCTTCCCTCAAGAGAAGGATTCATGTTATGGTTCTGTGAGCAAATAAATGGAATCCATCAGAAGCTTTGTGTCTGCATTCATTGGTATTTCAATACTTTCTTGTTTAGCATTCTCTCATTTGTAAATTCTTTGGTCCAGTCTCTGATAAAGAGGTATTCCTTCTCTTTTCCAAGGTGAATGCTTCTGTTTGTGGCCATCTCAATCTCATTCTCTCCTATCCTGGATGTCTAGGGGCACCCAATTTGAAATGGCCAATAATTAATATCTGATGTGGTTCATTTCCTTGGACATGAAGGTATCACAGATGGTTCTTATATGCAAATATGCATAACATGAATGAATTTTTAAAAACATTAAATGTTAATTACCAACACTAAAAGGGAAAAGTATATTTTATTTTTCTAAAATAACTTGCATTTAGCCACTTTAAAAGTCTTCTACTGTTTCTATTAATCTTGTACTTATTACTTTATATTTAAATTAAAATACCCTACTTTCATATAAAATCTATATATTATGTTTGTGATTTTTTTGGCTTACAAATAATTTTTAAGATCTTATAGTATGTGTGTCTCATTTTTATATTTTTTGTGCTTTTATATCTGATATTATTCTAATTTAAACATTTCTCTTTATTTCTATTGAAGGAATTTTTTATTTGTATTTATAATTCTGTAGATTTGCAAGTATGTGTCACCAAGACCTATGGAGTACGTATAGAGTAGACATACAATTTATATCAAGAAATTTATATATTAACTTTGTAATTGACGATATTTCACACAATTTACTCAGATAAGGCCTGAATGGATTCTTGACCTATATATAAGAAGAGATTTTAAAAAATCACACTTAATGATAGATGAATAATTTATGAATAAATAAGCTATAGATAGCAAATGTAGGTGTTAAAAAGCATAATTTCAATCCCGTTGAGTTAAAAAGATTCTGATTCTGTACATACAAAATTAATATATTCAAGATTAGAAGAAAGGCAGAAAATTGGGGAAATATATTTATTGGACAAAGGTCTCATATCTCAAACATGTAAGAATGAGTCATTCTTCAATTGATAAGTGGTCAAAGGATATGAACAGGCAATTTCCAATGAAGAAATCAAAACAATTTAATCATATAAAAATGTTCTAAATCATTATTGATTAGAGAAATGCAGATTGAAACAACTTTGAGATATCATTTTATATCTACTAGGTTGGCCAAAGTGAAGAAGGAGAGTGACAAATGTTGGAGAAGAAGTAGAAAATTTGGGACCCAATTTCATTATTGGTGGAATTGTGAACTGATCCAAAAATTTTGCAGAGCAATCTAGAATTATGGCCAAAGAGTTATTAAACTATCTATACCCTTTGACCCAGAAATACCACTATTTGGTTTATTTCCAAAGCTGATTAGAGGAAAAGGAAAATAAATTATATGTTCAAAAATATTTATAGCAGCTCTCTTTGTGTTGGCAAAAGAAGTATAAATAGCAGGGGCTCCCATCAATTGGCAAATGGCTGAACAAATTGTGGCATATGATTGTGATGGAATACTACTGTGTTATGAGAAATGATGATCTCTGTGATTTTAGAAAAAAATATGGAAAGATTTGCACAAAATAATGAATGACATGAGCTTTGAAGCAAGAGAACATTGTCTACTATTGCAAATGTTCTCTAATTTTTATAATATATAATTTGCAGATGAGTGATTACAAATATCTTTGATATGAATGTTTAATATAAAAATGTTCAGATGGTCATGTAACTGATAGGGAAGCATGTAAATCATTTTTTTTTTAGTCTGTAAAAATAGAGAACACCCGATACACCACCTTTTCCCATTTAGCTTTATCTATCAACTCCTTCCTTACATATGGAAAAAAAAAATCAGCACTAACTCAATCAGTTTAAAACATAGAGTAACCTCTGACTTAACAAGCTACAGAATTCCTTTATCCGGCTTTTTGTGGTATATCAAATGAGTTACAAAACATTGTGTTGTTTTGTTGACCTATGGCAACAATGTCCATCCTTCCTCCCCCCCCCAAAAAAAAAGTCTTGATTCCATATTACAAAAGTGATGCTGTTGTCTAGAATATCTAGCCACATAAACATATGATGCGAGGAACTCCCCATAAAGTTAGAACACTTTTGGGGTATATTATGTGGGATTTTCCCTGATGTTAGAAGCATAAGTCATCCCTCCTTGAAGCTTTTCATTCTGTTTAGTTTAAATTATTTTTTTCATTTGCTAGTTTGTTTGTGTATTTATTGTTTTCACTGCTGTGACTTTCATTGCCATGGTTTTCTCTGGAATCCTTGAAATTAAACCCTTCACTATTAAGTCCCTCCCCTCCACCTCAAAAAAAAAAACCTTATTGGTGTATCTCAGCTAATGAGTAAATAGAGGTTGAAACTGAAGTCTACATAAATTTGCATACTTAATTTACTTTATTATCCTAAAAAAAGTCATATCAGTGTCGGGATCCTTTTTCTAGTTATAGTATTCTTAAAGGTCCTCTTCACTTCTTCATTTCTCAGGCTGTATATCAAAGGGTTCAACATTGGGATAACCACTGTGTAGAATACAGATATCACTTTTCCTTGAGTTGGTGAGTAGTTTGAATTTGGACACAAATAAGTAACAACTGAAGTTCCATAAAATATAACAATGGCTGTAATATGAGAAGCACAGGTTGAGAATGCTTTGCGCCTCCCTTCAACTGAATTCAAGCGCAGAATGGAGAAGAGGATGCAGATATAAGAGGTAAGGATGATCAGAAATGTTCCCAACATGGTTGTCCCAGCAAAAACGAAAATGATAGTTTCATTCATTTGAGTATCAGAGCAAGAGAGTTTGAGTACTGGGGGAGTGTCACAGAAAAAGTGATGGATGACATTGGAGCCACAGAAGGATAAGCTACTTATGTAACTGGTATGAATAATCGAGTTCAGGAATCCTGCTGTGAAGGCCCCCGTGGCCATCTTCAGGCACACTGTCCTTGACATGATAACTGGGTAAAGGAGGGGATTACAGATGGCCACATAGCGGTCATAAGCCATCAATCCAAAGAGGATATGCTCAGTGGCTGCCAAAGCAATAAAAACATACATCTGCACAAAGCAGCCAGCAAAAGAGATGACCTTCCTTTCAGACAATAAGTCAGTTAACATCTTGGGAGTGATGTTTGAAGAGTAAAAAATATCAGCCAAGGACAAGCTGGTCAGAAAAAAATACATGGGTGTGTGGAGTTGAGAATCTATCATGATTAATGTGATCATCCCTGCATTTCCCATCATGGTGAGAGTATAAATCACCAAAAATAATACAAAAAGTGTAATTTGAAGTCCAGGTGAGTCTGTTAACCCCAGCAAGATGAATTCTGTCACTGCAGTGTCATTTTTCCCAGACATTTATTCCAAAATATCGGTACAATCCCACGCTGTAAAATCTTAGAATTAAAAAAAAAACAGTGAGGGGAGGGATGGCTTAGAACTTACAAACAACTGCTGACATGAATTCAGATGGATTAGAGTGGTAAGCGTGTTGAGCTATCCTCAGCAACTCATGAAGCAGGTGTTTATAAAGTGGTGGGCTTACCGCTGTGTTTTTTAAGCTTTATTAAGTATCACCTAACCTCAAGACCCTTTGCTATATGGTAGCACTTTAAAGATCAATTACTACAATAAATATAAAATAAAAAGATATCTGGTAAAGGAAGGTACCAGTAAAATATGGCAAAAAACTTGAGAATGATGGAAAAAAAATTGTTACAGTAGAAAAATTGTTATATGTTAGGTCCAGAGGATATAGTCTTAAATCATCATGTAACCTGTGTACTCTAGGATATATCACAACCTCACTGGGATACAGTTTTATCCTTTTTTTTTCCCCAGGTTGGGGGGTGGGGGGAGTGAAATTTGGACTGGATGATTTTAAAGACCCCTTATAATCTGCTTGATAGAATTTAGAGTGGCCAGGTTGACCTTAACTAAAGAAATTAAATTTGAGTAGAATCTTTCAGGAAAAGAATTACTTCTAAACTCGTTAATCACTCTATTAACAAACATTTATTTAGCACTTACGATATGCTAGGGCAGCTAGGTAGCACAATGGAAAGAGTATTTGGCCTGGAATCAGGAAGACTCATCTTTGTGACTGAAAATCCAAGCTCAGGATCTAACTAGCTGTGTGACCCTGGTTAACTTGCTTAACCATGTTTGTCTTAGTTTCCCCATTTTTAAAATGAGGTAGAGAGGGAAATAGCAAATCGCTCTAGGATCTTTGCAAAGAAAGTCCCAAGTGAGTTCACAAAGTGTCAGAAACAACTGAACCTACTTAAGAATAGCGTTATGTGATAGTCACTAACCTTGGATCAATGGATCACACACAAGACTTGAAAAGATTGTGCTGTGATTGTAATGTGCTCCTGCTTGGCCTAATACTACAACCACTGAAGGCATGCAACTGCGAGGTATAAAAAAATCAAAGAGAATTAATAAATGTTGAATTAACTTGAAATTATTATGAAGAAGGGCTGGGTTTGATAGCTAGATCTGGCTGTTATGAGCCTGTGACTATATTCAATCCACTTGTTCTCTCAAAGACTCAATCACTTGAATGATACATTCACTAACTGCTTTTTCTGAAGAGGACCTCTAGGAAAAATAAACTATTTTCTTAAATGAAAAAAGGGAATTGATTCTGCTGCCAGAAACTGCAATGTTTCAACTTTTGAAAACTCAGTTATGGAAGAAAAAAAATACATACCAAATCTATAGAGCCTCATGATGGGAATGACATTTTCACAATAATCCAAATATACATATATTAAAAATCACTTCTACAATCTCTGTCTTATCAAGTCACAGAGCTTGATCAGTTGCCCAACGTTATGGAGTAATAGTCTTCTCCCCAGATGCTCTTTGTTAGCTTTCCTTAAGGTTCCTTCAACTAGAGATTCTGTTTTCTCTTTATGGTACTTTAATTCCCAGCGCTATTAAATCTTCTTGGGGGAAAAGGTCTAGATTTGTTTTGATTTCCATCTTCAATGGAAACAGAGTCAGAAAACTCTTTGGGGATTCACCTTAGGGAAATCATTCCAATAGAATACGATGAAATGAGGGAATATGAAGAGATTGTAGAGGGAGAGTTAAGTTCTTTCCTTTTGGTGGAACGCCTTAGGGATAATAGTTTGATTCAGATCTTCTAAACAATTTATCCTATGACTTTGGGAAAAGCATGATGATAAGCTGATGAAATGTGTTATTAACACAACAGCAGGATGTATAGATAACACATTAGATGATAACTTATCTATTTGGTTCAGTGTTTTCCGACTCTTCATGACCCCATTTGGGATTTTCTTGGCAAGGCTATTGGAGTGGTTTGTTGTTGTTGTTTTCTCCAGTTCATTTAGCAAATGAGGAACTGCGCCAAACAGGGTTACAGGTTTATTCACTGACTTGAAGGAAGCATAAACAATACGCTGATGAAATTCGTCATTAACACAAGAGTAGAATGTGAAGATAACATGTGAGATGAAAAGAAGAGGGTCTAAAAGGACATCAACAGGTTATGAAATTAGAGAAAATTTGATAAAATTAAATTTAACAGGGCAGATATAAACATGTAAACTTCCATTCAAAAAGAACTTTGAAAGGAGAATATGTGAAGGATAGAGAAATTTATACAATTGTTTTTTGCAATCCAAATTCAGTATAAATCAATAAGCAATCTAAGGTTGAAATAATCAAAGCAGAACTCCCAGGACTACAGCGGTTAGAGTACTATACTGTTTTTGTTTGTTTGTTTGATAGATTGATTATGGCCACCATACATTTGGAGTTTTTGTTTGTTTGTTTTTTTATTGATGAGCATTTTTAGGAAAGACATTCACTATCTGGCCAGCATCTAAAGGACACCAAGTAGGAAGATGAAGGGATTTGAGATTATGTCACAGGAGGATAGGCTGAGTGAACTGAGCACGTTTAACACATAAAAGAAAGGGTTTGCTGGGCAGATCATGAAGAATATCTTTAATAATGGAAGGCATAGACAAACTTGTTCCCCTTGGATCCTGAGAAAAAACACAGAACTCAAAAGAAGTCTAAATGATCACTTTTTCCTATGTGAAGGGGAGAAACTATGCCATCAGATCACAGGATCTTAAATATATTCATGAAAGGGACAACAGAGGTCATCTGTTCTAATCTTCTTGTTTCATAATTGTGGAAACTTAGAGCCAGAGAAGTGTCTGCTAAAGTCACATGTGAGGAAACAGAGCTGGTGCTGAGCCCATGGCCTCTGATTCCAGATGCAATGTTGATTTGATTGCCAATTCCTAATAAGAGGAACTATTCCCCTAATAATGGGAAATGAAGGTTGTAAGGAGTTAATGGATTCCTCTGCTACTATCAATGTGGAGAGGAACAGATTAGTCTCTATAATTTTCAGCATCAAATAGAAATTATTGTATGGAATGTAATAGCTTTTTATAACATGATTCCTCCCAGCAATCTTACCTTTCTTCCACTTTAATCCCTTCCATCAACTCTACAATTTAGTCATACTTTCTTACATACAATGTCTTGGAAATGACGTTCCAATTCCAGCCTCCATATCTTTGCATATTTTTGACATACCTGGATTGCTCTTTTTCCCCTTAGGTTCCCTGATTTCGATTAAGATTCAGGAAAGTGGAAATATTCAGAAATACCCTGTTTCCCAGAGCTAAGGCCCAGCAAGCAGGCTGTGTCCTGCACTTGGCATAACAACAATCTTTTGCCCTGTGGTTGGTATCACCCTCTGGCAAAGTGTGTTGCTTGGACTAATGCCAGGTTTCACCGAGGGCTTTAGCTCCTGCTTTTTCCTGGGGCCATTCATCACATTTTTACACTCCCCGTTCCTTGTCACTGACAGGTACTGCACTCTTATTCCTGTCACAGAACTCTGGTGACAGAGGTGGGCAAGTCCCCCAAGACTTTGTACAATACTTTTCCCATGGGACTGTGGGAACAGCACCTCAATACCTAAAAAATAATTATATCATGGTCCAGCCCCGGATGTTATTTAAGACCTGCCTTTAGTCCAGCATATTAAGCCCCTTTCTTAAGAGGGGGATTCCATATGCATATGTCATTTCTCTCACTTTGAAATTAATTAAACTTGTTTTGTGTCCTGACTCTCCTATCTCTAGAATGCTAATTGTTCAGCTCCGACCCCCCACAGGTTAGAGGCTGCTTCAAGACTAGCTGACATGAAAAATCATAATTTCCGCAGCAGGCTTCTCCTACTCTGTCCCTTGTTCCCATCTTCTTCTGTCTTCCCCTGTGAAACTGCCTTCCATCTACTCTGTTTATTTCATCTATTTACATGTTGAATCTTCTAAGACAACACAAGCTGCTTGAGATCAGGGCCTCTTTTCATGATTCTTTTCTCCTTTATGAAGTACAAAGAGCTTTGCCCAGTACCTGGAATGTGAAAAGTGTTTGGAGAAGATCATCAGGGTGTCTAGGTGCTGAGCCCCAGTTTACCTATCAGTTAGAGGATTGTGTTTATTTTGTTTGGATTGGATTGGAGTCAATCAACAATGACATACCAGCAATGTTCATTGGGAGTGCGTATTTTATTCATTTTTAATTTTTTTTCTGTGTAAATGTCTTTATTAAAAAAAATACAAGAAAAAATGTATTGGGGTGGGGGTATCCACTAAGGTAGTCGCTATTTGAAAGGATAAAATAGTTCAGATCTGAGAGATGCTATGAAGGTAGTAATTCAAAAAGGCTATGATGGATGTTATTTTATGAAGGTACTAATGGCAAGATCTGTCAGCTGGTAGTTTATGTGGGATTGTAGCGGTGTGAGAGGTTGAGAGGTTGTGACCCTTCAAAGACTGAAGTACATGGGTCATCTGGAATGAATTCACAGACTCAAGCATTCTTTAAGCCAAGGTGGCAAAGTTTATTGTTACGCTTTTCAGCCGGCAAGGATTCTTAAAGGATCCTGCAACCTTAGAGAGGTACAGTTAAAGTTCATATAGGATAAAATACAATAAAACATGTGCCAAATATGCCAACTAGGTGATTCAGGGTGGGATTAGGGAGTGGTTAAGGAGCGGTCAGTTCTTAAAGAAACATGCACATCTTGTACCTACTGCACAGGCGTTTTACCCAGAGTTCACTAGGAAAAGCCCAAAAGGCGGGCCACATGGAGATGTGGTTTTAGGCCTGCTACATCACTAAGTCAACCAGAGTCCAGGGTAACTGAGAGTTGTCCAGTCTGCCACCAATCAATGTCTTGTTTGACAAGATAGATGTAGGGAGTATACATATGTATTAGGTCTAGAATACAGTTAATGAGGAGCCCAGAATGTAGATAATGAGGTAGGGCGGTAGGAGATAGTTCAATGGGT